CTCATATCCCTCTATTTCATTTCCTGTTTCAAAAGTGCTGATTTGGGGTATAAAGCTTTTTTAAAAAAAAAGAATTGATAAATAAAAAAGGAGGGGGCTGAGCTCATGCGGGACCCGGCAGCTACTGTCTTAACTAAATACTGCGGTGATGAAACGCCATATCATGGATTATCAAGGATTATCTCTGAAACAGTATGGAGCTCAAAAGCTTTCTCTCTTGCCGGTTATACCACAAGGTGAGTTCCTTTTTATTTCCTGCTTCTTCACACACATGCTCTCCAGTACAGGTTAGCTCTGAGTGTTAGCGATGCTAATGTAAACATCGACTATATTACGTCCAAAACAGTCGGGCATTGTTTCTGATAGCAACGTTTCTGATAGGGCCGTGGGTCCACATTTCAGATATTACGTCATATCGGACGCAAATCTGGATCAGCTCCGTTGTTCCCCCGTTTTTAGAGATTTGGGTACGGAGGAAAAGAGAGAGGGTTTTATTTTCTGACGCTGCGTGAGTTCCCGACACACCGGGGACACATCTTTATGTATAAAAGACATCAAAAAGGGCATTTCGCATGATGGGTCCCCTTTAAAGCATATTATTATCCCCGTTTGATTTAAATGAGTTTTACATAAAATAAGTTTCTTATATTATTGCAGAAGAATATGAAAGGGTCATTGTATGGTAAAAATTGGAGGACAAAAGTATTCTTATAGTACGTCAAAAATATTAAAAGAGGTTATACCGTGTTAAAAAATGTGAGAAAAAGTCATGGTGAAAATACGGAAAAGAAAGTCACAGGGTGTTTCTCAATGTCGAGAAAGGATGCTCCAGAGCCACTATTTCAAGGATGCTACATAATCGAGTCCCGCTGAAGGACTGTTCCAATGTCCAGCATACTTGGAATTTTACCGAGGCCGGCGTCCTTCGTAGCGGGAAATTTCTTGGCTGCATATGTGCATCCTCCGCGGTCTTAAAATCCCCACAATGCTTTGCACTCAACCAATTTTCCAAAATCTTTGGCGGAAATCGCGCTCCATTTAAGGCGGGGCCTCGCATATATGACGCACACCTGTTAGCCTGTTCCACCATTCTTCATTTTCCGAGGCTAGGAAGGATTCTTACCTCGCTTCTAAAAGGACCTGACTCGGAGGACATGTCCTACCAAGGAGGCATCCTCGACATTGAGAAACACCCATAGTGTAGTACGTTGAAAGTATCATGAAAAATGTAAAGTATAGTATGTCGAAAAATATTGTATACGTGTTAAAAAATAAAACAAAAGTCATAGTATAGTGTGTCCAAAATGTGTATAATATAAAGTCAAAGTCCTACTTATGTCCCAAAAACAAGTCATATTGTATTCTATTCAAAGTCATAGTATAGTATTACAGTAAAAGAAACATCTGTTTAAGTCAATCTAATTGTTGGAGTGCTTGCACTAGTGACACCCATGTAAAATATTTTATGATCACAAAACAACATCAAGGAGACTCAGATTCGATTTTTCCAATATTATGCTGTTATTTAATAATCAGATTTTCATAAATATGTACATAACAGAATATATCAAAGAAGGAAAAGTCATAATCTGCAGAGTCAGATTTACTAAAAACACTCGTCGGTCCTCCTTCTGGTTTTGTGCACTTCAGATTTTTTTGCCACCATTTAAAAAATAATCCTAACAGGTTTTAATAATACATTATTTTACAATCCATGAGGGATCTTTTTTAATCGTCTCGTTCTCTGGGCCCAGGATGGCGACACCACACGTCCTCTGACCGACACCCAGATATCTGTGGGGGGAAAGCACCAAAAACACTTTATACTTAAATTTGAACTCATATAGATGCAGAATTGTTAGTTTTTAAATGTACTTTCTATCTGGGTTTCTTAACACAGTTTGCATTAAACTTTTTACCTCTCGGCGACCTCCACCAGACTTCTGTGAGAGACAGCGAAGAGCCTCTCTCTGTGACCCTGCAGCATCTCGTCTGTGACTCCACTCAGGAAACGACCCATTCCTGCAACACACACACACACACACACACACACACACACACACACACACACACACACACACACACACACACACACACACACACACACACACACACACACACACACATTTAAAAAGGGCAATGCATTGAAATGAAGGATGCAATTCACTTTTATTCAGTTCTTGTTGAAGTTATATTAATATTTTTTGAAGACTAGTCTAAAGATCTAAACTCATAATACAAAGATTATGTTTTGCAACAACTGCAGATGATCATAAGATTTGATATTGAAAAGGTGTCTGGTCCGTGACGTTATCCAGTTGCTTCCACACAGTGGGGGTCTCACCTTTGCTGGCGGGGGCCACAGGTGAGTCCACGGCGGAGAAGACGGACAGTTTGGCCTCGTCGATGTCCTGCTGGGAGAAATCCCCCGACTTGGCCCAATCGACGCTTCGGCGAAACGCTGAGAGGGTCTGCAGGGAGTTCGGGTCCCTGAGGAGAGAGGAGATGTAACGTGAGGTCAACACTCTGAGAAACACACTTTGTTATAACCAAAATGTTAATCACAATTTAACAACGCCTAATGTGTTCAACTGTCCAAAACCCTAAGATATGTATCCAACCAAACAAAGACGGAGGCATTCACATTTAAAAAGAATAAAACCAGAACATTAAATCTCCATTTTTGTTGTTTTGTGATCATACATTTTAATTGGGTGTTTTAAGTATTACAACGTATAATGCTTTGCCTTTTCATATATTTTTTAATACAGTAAAACTTGTTTTGGGGAAATAAGTAGGACATTGACTTTATATTTTACACATTCTACACATTTTCAATTCTAAGTATAAGATCTGAGTACTTGTCCCACCTCTGCAAGAGACTAATTGTTGCGGCTGTAAAACCGTCCTCTTCTACCTCACCCCTTCATAACTGAGGTTAGCTATTTGTATGCCTTTATATCAACTGGTTACAGCAAGTATAGAACTTTATTACATGGCTTAGTTGAATACTCGATTCTGATTGGTCAATTCAGAACACCTGACACGTTGTTAATCCAGTACAGACAGACCGCTGTCAAGGACTTATTGACCGTTGTTAAGGACGCTCACATCTGCAGAAAGAAGTCCGGTCGATGTAACTGTATACAGTTTGGCCGAAAAGCAAACTGGGACAAGAAAACAGCGGAGAAGTAACGGGGCAGAAACCCTCCTTTTTACGCAACGGTCCAGACATAGACATCAAACGGCGACACATATTCAGTGTGCAGTTACTTTGGCTTTAGGGCAGGGATATCTAGATACTTTCCAAAGGTTTGACATCATGAATTGTGCTACTTTTATATACTGCTATCTGTCACTAATCATATGGTTGTTTCAGTCTAAAATGGCCAAAACCCAAATGTTCAATCAATCAAAACAACGATAACACTCTCTACTGGTAGTGCATTGATCTGCTCCCACCTGTATGAGTAAAAGGAGAAGAGTCCGCCTCCCATCCTGGCTCCGCCCCCATAAGCCCCGCCCTTCTCCCGGATCTCTCCGTGGAGAAACTTCGACGTCATCATTCTCGCCAAGATGCACAGACTAGAGAAAGAAGAGAGAGAGAACGTTTTTACAGAAAGGAATACGTTATACCAGCGGATCCCAAATGCAAAACATTAGGATTTGTGGAAACATTTTTTATTTGAACCTCCTTTCCTTTCTCTTTCTCGATCCTCCTTAGCAACGGTCATTAGAGTCCTTGACAGCAGTCTGCTCTATTGGATTAATAACATGTTCTGAATTGACCAATCAGAATCGAGTATTCAACTAAACCTCCGTATTGTTTATGGTTGAATGTGGGCCGCGATTTTCATTTATATAGCACACTTTAAAAACAACGTCATCTCAAGGTGCTGCACAAAGCTATAAGGAGAAAATAATACAACTAATAACACAAATAGTTATCTAAGGAGAATATTGAATACAATGTGGTAATATAGCATAAAAGGTTAGAATAGAAAATAAATCAAGTTAGATTCTTAAGTGGGCCTTGAGTTGAAAAAGGTTGTTATACTAACTGTAGAAATAATCATTCAACTTTAATCTTCCTTCCTCTGGATATGCTGCGTTTGTTTACCTGGCGTAGTCCTCGTGGGCGAACGGCACCGTGCGGATGCTCTCGCTGATGAAGTTGATGGGGAACGGCATCTGGAAGAACGTCTTCATCTGACACGGCTGGAAGTTCACCTCCTGGAGAGAGAAGAGAGAAGAGTTCAAACACACACTGATTCAAAATGTATTCATCAAGTAGGTTCGCCACATGTAAACAGGACTTTGTGCGGCATCATTTAAAACAAGCTATAATATTTCATCATATGGCAGTGTTATCTAAAATAATAGCAAGAATACAAATCTAAATTATGGTTTCAATAAATGTCGTTGCTTCCTTAAGCAAATACGATTTTTTTCAATATTTTAGATTTTACATTAAGATTTTGATTTATTTTAAGATTTGTTAAGCTTTAAAGGTCCCATGTCATGCTTCTCTGGTTAGTACCCGTCCCCTTGTGTGTTATGAAGGTTTCTCTGCATGTAAACGGTCTGCAGAGTCACAAACCCTCAAAGTACACCCTGTAGTGAGTAAAACTCTAACACAGAGAAGACCTGTCTATGCTGCCCCAGAACGCCTCGTGGGACATTTCTCTTTTTCCATTGTTTACTTCCTGGGTTCTCTGACGTAACGAAGTCCAAATCGACCAATTGGCGCTGTCTCGCAGACCCCACGCAGCAACCAGGAAATGACACCAGTAACCCAGCTCACACTGTCCGCTCCTTGAGCCTCAAAGGGCGGAGCAGCGAGCCCCGCAACGTCCCGCCAACACGGCACCCAGACCCCACGCAGCATTCTCATCTGTTTGTCCTTACTGCTTTCATTTCCTGGTTGCTAACAAACGCCATTGTAACACGTAATCACTGATGTTCAGCTGTGACGGTGGTGGACTCATCAGAACAGAGTGGGTGAGCTGACCAATCAGAGCACAGTGGGCTCAAAGGGAGGGGGGGAGAGCTCCAACAAGCCGTTACGGTACAGAGAGTGAATAATACACATACTATAAAGAGATGCTGTATGAGAAACCAATAGTGAGTTTGG